TCAGCTGTGGGGTTCAATATTTGAAGTAATGTGAGATGCTCAGTTTGACTACAGTACTACATCAACAGTGCCATCATGTGGAGAGATGGAGAATGGGCTGAAACACTTTGCTCCCCTGTAGTTTTTAATAAAGTTAATTAAAGAAACGTTTCTCATATTGCTCTTGACCACATCTCACCAGCTCTATCTCTTTTTCACTGCCTCAATGTAGGAGCGGCGAGCATAGGGAAAGGTATCGGAGGAATCCTCTTCTCTCGCTTCTCGCGCTCCAACAGCCAGCCTTCAGTGTCTTTAGGACTGGAGGGAGGGACAAACACTGAGGAGGAGGAGCAGAAGCGTGCAGAGAGTCAGTCAGCATACGGCCTCTCCACCATGATTCGGCCCACCTCCCCCACCGTTGACACATCATGTAAGTTTACTTACCTGTGCACCCTAAAGACTAAATATCCAGAAACATGCACTTTGACCTTGTGGTGTGGCCCATGTCCCTTCTGAGAACATGGAAGAGATCAAGACACTTGGGCTTCTTTTTCGGCATTTGGCGAGCCGTCGTGTCTTCAATCTTTATTTACAGTTTATGGTCCACACCAAACAATCATAGATGAAGTCTCCTTAACCAGAGTTAGAACTTAACTTTAACAATTAAAGTGTGTTGGGAAGGTATTAGTTATTAACTACTAACTCACAAATGTTTGTGCAACTCTGTTTCTCACAGTGGAGCTGGAGCGGCGCATCGACTTTGAGCTCAGAGAAGGCCTGGTGGAGAGTCGCTATTGGTCAGCAGTCACCTCACACACAGGCTACTGGTGCTCACATGACATCGCACTCTTCCTGTTGACTTTCATATACAAGCAGAAGACGACCTCTGACTTAGCAGAAGAGGCTCCAGAGCCAGACTGAGTCTGCACATTACACAACTCACACTTGAATAGTGTCTGACAACTCTAAAAGGGTTGGCGAGACACAAAAATAGACTTCATCCATTTATTTTTATGCGCACAAACTGATTAAATACACTTATCTCTTTCCTTTCTCTCCCTGTGATCCAGCTTTTTTTAACACTTGGAAATCAAGACTGACTAATTTACGTAATTCCAAGATGTGCATTTAATTTTGATTAGCTTTTACACAATTGTGCACCCTAAGGGTGACAGTGTTGGACCAGGAACCCCTAAGGAGGTGCCCCCTTTACCAGTATGAGCAGAAGCTTGCTTATAAACATGAAATAAGAGCTGAATGAGTTTGATGCACCCAGTGGAAAAGACTTAACTTCGTCCCCAACAACAGCTGCAGCCTGTTGGTGAAGTGTCCACAAGTTTACTGTTGATTAATGCTTCTGTTCAGCCTCCTTTCCAGTGACTCAGTCTGGAGCCTTGTGACACACATGCCTGACCCTCAGTCACTGAGGCTTTCAGATTTAAGTTTTCTTTGACATTGAGGAGAAAGAAATACAGCTGTCAAAAATAGTTATATCTTTAAAACATTTCTAACCTTTAACATCTTTAGCTCTACTTTATCTCTGATGCTAACAAGCAAATTATATGCCTTTCAAAATTAGCCAAACAATGTACACATGAAGAATGTGTTGTCTGTTATACGTATGTATAAGTATCTCTGTTGAGATATCTTTTCTTTTTTTTTAACAGAACCTGAGGGCATTATCCCTTTAAAAATGTTTGGGAAGCATGAAGAGAAACCTAACAAACTTATTAGTTTGTTTTTCCTATTCTATGCCATAATCACCTCTTTTTTAACATTCATTCCTCAATCACTAAATTAAACATGAGCAAACCACCACTTTTATACCACACACACACCTTATCATTTAATGTTGAGGTTCCACTAACTAAACAGTTTTGGGGATAAATTGTAATCACAAAAGTTACATCTTATCATGACATTATTTTCCATAAATGTTTACAACCACATTAGGCTTGTATCATGATGCGTTATCTACATTTTCGACAAAGCATTGAGCATGTGTATTTATTTTCTTACACACAGTTTATGAATCCAGATCGTAGTCTATAACTCTCTCAATGTCTTTTGCCGAACTCTAAACAATCTTACTCATTCAAACTTGCATGATTCTATATTACTGATGTGGTACGGAGATCATTTTCCATGCTCATGTCTTTGTACCAATATCCAGATGAAATCCCTGGTACTAGATGCATTTTTTTCTTAAAAAACAAATATATACATATATTTTTCCTAGCGATCTTCAGGCTCTTGTGGGCATGAACGTGATTCTCATCTCGGGAAAATGGGACTCAAACCTGTGGCCAAAAAACATGTGTAGCTTGTTAAGCTCTGCTTTAGTGGTGGAAAGGCTGATTTATACTAATTTGAAAGTAGCTTCTTTTTATTTTGTGGCCAGTGCACACAAAGTTTAAGTTTTAAGTTTGTTTCTTGTTTGCCTTTTTTGTAAATTGGTGACTAATTCACACTTAACCCTTTTGAGATAATGAATATGTTGCAGCCTGTCTTTTTAATTGTTTAAAAGATAGGCTCCTTCGTGTGTTTTCCTAAAAGAGAAAATAATATGGACAATTAGCAAAAGCAAATCATGACTATTGTTCTCTAAAAACAAAAGTTGCTGGTTATCATGACTTCTTTAGTTTTTTTTTTAGTTGTTTTTTTTTAAATGGTCCTTTAACAACACAACCAGTAGCAAATATGCCGAAATAAGAGCTCACTCACTTTACATGGTGTCAAATAAGTGGTAAATGGATGCTGGAAAAAAAAAGACATAGCAGACAGTGCCAACACACCTCTAATAACTGTGTTGGTGTCTTTATTTAGTAGAAAATCTCTTATGATTGTTAATCGATGTCTAATTAAATAATTTGTTACACAACCGCAGGGGATAAAGAAATGGAACGACCCTCAGATACACATGTAACAGATCACATTGCCGTCTGTGTCAAATTTTCCTTGTTATAATATCATAGTAATCAAAAGAGCTTATTTTAATTAGCTACAGTGCGAGCTACTGCTTTTACATCAACACCATCATGGGCTGTTTGGAATCAATGTGTTGGTGTTGTGTGTCTGTTACGTCCGCAAAAGCCTAATGACTGAAACCTGGCTGCCTTGTTGACCAGATAGTATAGCATGGACAAAATAGAAGGGAGTATGATATGGAAGAGTTTCTACATTTGACCTGGTGGATCTTGCACATTCATCAGCTATGAGTTGCACAGAAATGATGTAGAAGAACAGCTTGTTAATTAATATTTTTATTAATTCATAATTGCATGTGTTACATTGCAGCAATAGAAATGTGAAGATGTTTCTTGGACAGCAGGAATGCTCTTTACTTTGGAAACCTTGGACGTGCAATGAAAAATGCATAGAACACTTCCATTGTTGCCTCTGCACCTGAAAATCACACTTGCAAATACATATTGTAGGAGTGTGTACAGGCCCTCGTAACAATAACAACAATATTGTGATTCGGCCCGTGAGTTTCCACGGTGTATCTGAAATTTGCACATTTTCCATCAGAGCGATTCTTGATTCACTCACAGATTTTAAACTGTGCTCACTCTGCATGTGAAATGAATAAATAAGCAACTCAACTGGAGAGAATGAAAGATAATTGTGTCAATGTACATTGTACTTTTGACTACATGAGCATTTTAGCACAACATTTTGAATGATGACAGTATATTATATTTTTTTTGTCAGAGGTACAAGCATCAGGGAAATGTCTACTGTGTTTTTTGTAGATTTAACTAAAGTGTTGATTCCAGTTCGAAGCCATTATTCAGTCAAATGATCAAGTGCTGTCATGGGTGTGTTGTCAGTCTTTAAAATATTCAAAAGCTAATAAAAGAAGGGCCTGCAGCCATATGTCATCACACACTGGGTGAGAAAGAGAAATGCACATTGAAACTTACTGTGTTTTTGAATGAAATTTGTGTCAGTTACCACTGTTAACTTTGAATGGGTGTCTGGAAAAGTTTTTTTTTTTGTCTGTCCCTAGAGCTGTGCAATAACCCATGCCTGTAATGGATTCTAACTGCCATCCAAAGCATTGTATTTATTTCCTTTTATTAAAGTATTTCTTTCCTTTTTTGGATACAATGACTACTTCCTTTGTCTGCCATATGTCAAAGATAATAACCAGGGAAATGATGACTGTAGCTGCGTAGGAGGACGTTGAAATCATCAGAGGAAGATGGTCCAATTGCTCGTTTCCACGTTTTCTTGGACAAAAGAACTATTTGTTCTTCTGAAACTGGGGTCAGATTCCTTCCAAGGGACCCCCTCACGAGAACATCGAAGCTGACTTATAGATCATAAATGGGCTTCATTGTGATCCTCATGACTTCCAGATGAATTACTGAGGGTTTTTTAATGCAGTTTAGTAACATCTGCAAAGCAAGGATCACAGATGGGACCAGTTAGCGCAGGGGTTATTCTCATAAATAATAGATTAAGCCCTGCTGTTCTGTGTTTGAACAGAAGAGGTCAGTCATCTCTCAGTTAAAACTTGAACAAAGGCCCACTGACCATTTGCTGTTTGTGCTCTCTCCCAACCTTTTTCCATTTATTGCCTTTAACTAAATTTAGATATTTGGACAGTTGCTGTTATTTCTAATTTAAGCTGCTAAGATATGATGTTAAATGAGCAAAAGATACATAAAAAGTGAACATCGCACAAAAGCTGACTGACCAAGTCCTTTTTTGAGCCTTGGAGATGATGTGAACCTCTTGGTCTCCCCTCACAGCCTCCACCTCTCTGCCTCAGTCTCTTTCACCTCCTCCTTCCTGATCCACATCATCAACATCAGGAGCCAAGCCAGCTCCGCATCTGCCTGACTCAAATGTTTACCCTGCAATTAAAACACGGCCTATAAAAGGCAATGGGTCGGCCGCCAGACACTGACGAGGGGGTCAGAGCTGCAGGAGGGAGAGGGAGAGAGGTTATAAATCACTTTGATGCAGACCTGTCGTCTGAAGGCCCAGATTCCTGAGCTGGAGGACTGGAGCTGGAGCGAGTTCACCAGGGGACCGAGCCAGAAAAGCAGATGATTCATATGTCTTTCACTGTGGACCTCTTGGAGAGTGTGGGTTGGAGTGTGCATTGTGCTGCTGCTGTTGCTGTGGGGAGAATGGAAACAGCATTTAACCCCTCAAACGCGTCATTTGTGTGATCATTTGATTGAATGCTCGTATAAAATGCTATTTTTCATCTGAAGATGTGAACAATAGCTCGCAGACATCACGGCTGATTGTCAGCATGAGACACTTCTGAAGATAGTTTTCCATGTGTTCAATTTTATTAGGAAATCAAAGTAAACTGTGATTGAGTTTCTGTGATTTATTGACTGTCCGTTAAAGCACAATGACTGACCTTGTGTGAGAGTCAAATAGTTTGTACATGTTGGAGAAAATTTTAAATGTGAGTTTCATATTAAGATAAGTTTCCACAAAAGTGATGCAACTAGATATATTTACGTACAGGGACTTTATCATTTCTATGTTGTGT